AACCAACAAGTTATCATAAGTTCCCCCCCTTTTACAAATGATTTTGGTCAAAAACCTAACATTTCTCATATGAGAATATCAGGGTGTGCCGCATACATCCCAATTTCTCCACCACAGTATCTTAAGTTGATTCTCGTTGGAAATTGAGAATTTATGTTGGGTATGAATCCCAAATGGGAAATTTGTTTGCGAAATTATTGTTTTGATGAATCACTTTTCAAACATTAAGGGGGAGAGAAAAAAAACAGCTAGACAAAGAGATGAGTTGGAATGAGTTATTATTATTTAGTTTTGATCCTCAAAGTAAGAAACCTGAACCTGAAGTTCATAAGATAAATTATCATTACCAACTATCAAATGCCTTTACTGACCATACAAAGTGACCAGTCACATATACTTGCTGTGAATGCTCCAACTAAATTTGATATCATTGTTGGATACTCTAATATAAAAAGCGTGATAGACCAATCGGTTCCAATGATAAGCATCCTCGAGAAAGAAAAGGAGTTGTAATTAGAATGGTCAACTCGAGGACATGAACACTCAAGAAGAGTAACCAAGAATAAAGTAAGATTTTAGTTCCAGAAGAACACATGTGTATGAAATTTGTGAAAGTGAAGAGATCTCAAAAACATGTTGGACTACAATACTGGAACCGTAATGAAGTCATTGTCGATGAAATTTGTTTATTGTACTTCAGTACTGAATATGATATGTACAAGTGAGGATCAAGAGTACAACTCTATTGATGCATGCAAATGATGATATTATTGGCCAATATAGAAAGAAATTATGAAACTTGCTCAAGGAGCATAAAGTTTAAGGACCAAAAGTCCTTTCACCTAAAAAAGGGCAAAACTAGCGGGATACAAACAAATTTTTGTGCTATTGGAAAATATGAAAGTGTGAGAGATATCGCATAATGTTTTGCAATGGGTTTCTCGAAGAGACCTATCATTGTTTAAGAGGAGTTATACTCCCCTGTGGTGGATGCAACTACTTTTTCAAATCAATGTTTGAAAATTGTTGTGATAGCCTATTTGTTTGAATTCCCTGAAGATGTTATATATATTTGAAACTCCCAGAAGGATTAGTTACTCCTAGAAGGATTAATTTACCTGAAGTAAACAAGTAAAGTTCTCGAGAACATATATCGATAGACTAAGAAAATCCCTTGTGTGGGTTGAGAAAATATAGACGAATGTGAAATACTCGTCTAAGTGAACACCTACAACAGTAGGGTGAATGGACCTTAAAAGGTTAAATCCGGATAGAGTCATTAGAGCATTTGCATTGTGCATATATAGTTGTGTTGTATGTATGTGCTTCAAGGATTTTAAATTCTTGATTTATGAGTTGTGATTTACTTTAAAGTATGAGTTGTGTTTTATGAGTGTGCTTTGTCTAGTTCATATGTTTCTATGATGTGTGTTTTGTTAATATCCTTCGTGATATGAAAGAATTGCTTGCTTCAATTTGTTTTAGTCAAGTTTTTTTTACGATCTCATATTATGTTGATGATATGACTATTATTGGATCTCCTGAAGAGCTTCCTAAAGCAGTTGATTGCTTGGAGACATAAGTTAAATTGAAGGATTTAAGATCCTTTTTATGGGCAAGGAAGATAATGTTGAAAAAGTGGGAACATAATTTTGCATGAACAAATTGTGTTCATCAAATAACATTATGATCCTAAGATCACTAGAAGTGACCAAAAATCCATTTAGAAATCAAGAAAGAAGTGAAACATTAGGTCTTGAAGTACCATATGTTGATGCATTAGAGCACCAATGCACCTTGCTAGCCAAGCACCATATAAACTATCATTTTGGTGTTGATAATATTGGCAAGATACAATGTTTCCCTCATTATAACGTTGAAAAATACTTTGTCACCTCCGGGAATAATATATGCGATTATTCTATTATGGTATTATCAAAGAGAGATTTGGTAAACTATATATCCAAATCCTATATATCATTTGATCCTCATATTGGTTGATCGGAGACGAGATCTCTTACATATGGTGATATAAATGTTTCATAAAGAAACAAAACAACCTATAATGGACAAGTCCTGAATGTCTTTTGTTACACTTTGTGATCCACCTTATCTCAAGTACTTGTGGTTGTGAACTATTTTCAAATGTAATGATCCTGACGATCATGTATGAAGAAAATCTAAAGATCATGCATCAAATTGACAATCTAGAAGATTGTTCACTAACTCACTCCCGACAACAATCTTGCTAAAAGTTGTTCGTGAAATTTGAGTTCAACGACTTAATAATCTGAAGTGATGTGGTCATGAGGGAGAGCATATAAGCACTGCACTCTTTTTCCCTTAACCATGGTTTTTCCTCGTAAGGTTTTTAACGAGGCAGTATGAGATAGCGTAATGCAATCTAGTGGTCATCCAAGGGGGAGTATTATGTAAATATTGATATATGGATGACCAATGATCTACCACATTAGATGCTCACTTGGGAGTTACATGTAACCTCTATTTCTACATCATTATCTCTCATTCATATGCATTGATATAAGGATGTAATGGTTACCAAAGTGTGCCTATAAATATAGCACACCATTGTATCAAAAGTGAAGAATGAATAAGAAGAACTCTTCCCCTCTCTTCTCTTGTGTCTTTCCCTCTCTAATCTTCTCTTGTAGTTGTTTATATTTTCCATTAGTTTCATAACAAGGGTGATATAGTTTCCATTTTTTTTATTAAGGTACTAATTAATAGATTGAACCCGGGACCTCCAGGTTCTAGGCTAGTGGTATTACCACTAAGCCAAGTCTTTGTTCATCATGTTCACGAGATTTTTCCAGAAATAGTATTGTTTTTTTTCCCCCAAAAAATAGCACTCAACCCCGAAAAATTCCAAAAATAGCACCATTTCCCAAAAATCGTCACCCGAACAAGAGGTTTAGATGAAAACCGCCACCCGGGGGCGCGGTTTTCAATGAAAACCGCAGGGTTAGGGGCGGTTTTATGACCGCCTGGGTCGGACCGGTTCGGTCCATAACCGCTGCCCCACCCGGCAGTTTTGGTTTTTTTTTTTTTAAAAAATCCTAACCTAGGTGGAAACTTCAAACGAACGTATCTTTGTGTTCGGGTATCCGATCGTCGCGATTTTTTTTTTATTCCGCATAACTTTTCGAGATCTTGCAAGCCGAAAACTGTCGTAGCTCCACCTAATTAAACCTTTTAGGTCCCCCCAATTAAACCTAGGGCTAGATAGGCCCAACGACCTTAGGCGGTTTGATCCCGCCTTCATCCCGAAAAAGGGCCACCATGCCGGAATTCGTTAGGTCGCCCATGGAGGAGAATCGGTTGATCAGTGGCGGCGCAGTCATGGCGGAAACCCTAGATTAGATACTGGGAATTGGGGAACGAGGGAATTGAACGGAGAAAGAAAAGGTGGGTAGGGACTAGGGAGAGAAGCCTCGCGAGTCAGTGGTGGTGGAGCGGAGCGTGTCGGTTCGAGTTTAGACAGCGAGGAAGATAGGCTTTACGGCCGTCCAATCAGTCGAAGAAGGGCCAGGACGAGACGAATTCGTCGTTGGCGGCCGCATCCCGAGTCTTCTCGACCTTGTATTCTTGCAATGGACGTCGGTGCGGCGCGTCTTTTTGGCAAGGCCGTGGATGGCCTCGGCGGCGGAGGTTCCCCGGCTGAGCTCGACGTAGAGTTGCCCCAAGCCTCAACGAGCGTCGTCGTTGGGAGAGGGAGGGAGTTAGGGGTGCCACCGTGCCGAAATTCGTTAGGTCGCCTATGGAGGAGAATCGATTGATCAGCTGCGGCGGGATCGTGGCGGAAACCCTAGATTAGATACTGGGAATTGGGGAACAAGGGAATTGAACGGAGAAAGAAAAGGTGGGTAGGGACTAGGGTTTAGTTGACTGTCACGTAAGATAATTTTAACGGACTTGGTCGACCGATGACAACGGTGAAATGATTCGTAAAGTTAGTGGTGAATAAGAAAGAAAAATAATTCGGATGGTAAACATGAAAGATTTGTATAATCTGAGTAACCAAACGTGTAATTTAGCCATATATTTTAAGATGATCCTCCCACATCTATTTTTATCAAATATTCCTTTTCAATTTATAATTAGCTTCTTTGAAATCACTTGTTTAGTTTTGATCACCCTCTCTTTTTTCAAGTTATATAAAATATTCATTTTCAATTTAAATCATGGTTCAAAAAGGCACGCTTAACATTACGATTAGGCATACCTAGGCACAAGGCAATAGAAAAATGCCTCGCCTAGGGTTTCGCGCCCTAGTTAGATACTCGAACACGTCAATTGAGTAAGACAACATCTAAGTCTCTCCTAAACATAATTAGATGGAGCTAGGAGGTCAATATTAAAGGAGGAAATGATCAAGTTAATTTCTTTGAAAATTTATCATATTTCCATTTATAAATGGTCAAATCTTGACTGCTATATTTTACGGTTTGATTTAATTTAATATTTGGAATCGTGATAATACTTTTATTTTAAATTATTAAATCGGTAAGTATAGGAGACTGTGTAAGACATTACTCTTTTATAAATGATTCATGTAGATATAGAATTTTTGGCAGTTTTATTTAAAATCTAAGCAAGTCTTATATAAAAGTAATTTCAAATCGTATAATTTTTGGCAGTTTTATTTAAAATTTAAGCGAGTCTTATATAAAAACAATTTCAACGATTTAAATGTGATTTGTATATGTGTCTAAATGTATATTGAAATTTTTTTAGCGTCCCATAATTAAACCTTGGGCCATATAGGCCCAACGGACGTAGGCGGTTTGATCCCGCCTTCGTCCTGAAAAAACATCGTTTGCTATTCCGAACGAGTCTTTTTTTTATTTCGTCAAAATTTGGACGGTCATAACTTTATGCTTCAAAATCCGAACGTCATAATTTTTTTTTTTTTTTCATTTCGCATAACTTTTTTAGAACTACAACTTTTATCAGCACAAGGTCTAGCTCAAGAAGACATGACGATACAATGATTCACACAAATTCCAAAGACTCCAGAAGTTGGCCAAAGCTTTAACATACGTGAAATAAGCAGAAACAGTTGAACAGAACAAGGAGAGCAACACTTAAAAGTTTTTCTATTTCTTTTCCAGGACAAAACTTCTTACAAGTTCTAACACTGACAAAAGCTAGTAAAGGGGAACTATACTGCTGTTCCGACTTCGCCACTTCACTACACTTTTCCAGATTTCCTAAGTAACCACTGCACTGAACTTACCACTACAAATTAATTTCTTATTACTACACATTGTTCTTTCGACAAAAGTGGAACCCCAACCCCCCAACTAAAGCTCTTATTCCCTCTTATACACAGACTACTCTGCCTGAATTCTGGGAGATTTTCCCCAACTGGTGCTTCAGCTGCGGGGCAAAGGGTTCCTCGGTTCACTTCACCCTTTCTCAGACTAACCTTTGTTCTGTTTTTCTCCATCAGAAATTTGCTGCGGCATATCCACTCCACCCCTATCTCATCAGATGTGGCCGGGAAACTTCAGCTTGGAACAACGGACACTTGCTTGCTCCGCTTTGGCATATTGTCTCATTGAGTTCAGAAGTCAGGTATGCCACTTGACCTTGACGAGTATTCTGTTACCAGCTTCAGGAACATGGAGGATTTATCCTCTAACAGCCGCATCGGAGCATCAAATTCAGCCACACGGCCTGCAAAATCCAGAGTCCCAGGAGGATTCTATGAGCATTTGAAACTTGTGTAGATAGCAAAAAGTAGGTAACATGGTTCATACATTACATACCGTCGCTTAGTACCAAAACAAGATCACTGTCAATCACTGTTGGGATACGGTGTGCAATGGTGCAGACAGTGCAGTTCTTGAACTCTGTCCGGATGATCTTTTGGATGAGATTGTCCGTGGCTGTATCAACTGATGCTGTTGCTTCGTCCAGTACCAGTATTCTAGCCTGTTTGAGCAAAGCACGCCCTAGTGCAACAAGTTGCCTCTGTCCCACGCTCCAGTTATCTCCACTTTCTAGCACTACAAAATCCCGCAGAAACCATTATTTCACTGAATTGGTTACAGATAGCTCTCTTAGACAGTATCAAGGAGTTAGCTACAAAAATGAAATCATTATTCATTCTCCAATTCGTAGAGGCTTATATATACCTGGCGCATCAAGCTTTTCATCTTTCTCACGGATTACATCGCCGAGTTGAGACTTATCAAGAGCCTGAGCAAGACAAATTAAATTAAATTATGTGATCAAATGTGTTAATATCAGCTAACTACTCATCCAAGTATCTGGAGAAAAGGATAAAATATATGGAAATAAGTAGGCAGATCATGTGTTTCCGATTACACAGTTGCCAAAAGGAGCTGAATAAGTAAGTTGGGGGTCTGAACCTGCCATATTTCCTGATCAGTATGCTCTTGGAGAGGGTCGAGATTTCCCCTAATGGTTCCTTCAAACAAGGTTGGATCCTGAGGAATGATACTGAGACAGCTGCGGAGATCATGAAGGCCAATTTTTGCAATATCAATGTTGTCTATAATAATTCTCCCGCCAGCTGGTTCAATTAACCGGAACAAGGCCTGGATCAATGTAGACTTCCCACTCCCTGTTCTCCCAACAATCCCAATCTTCTTCCCACCAGGAAAGCTGCAGGATACCCCATGAAGCACCATAGGAAGATTCTCACCATAACGGACCTTCAAAAAATTGTGTCAACAGCAATATAGTCAAAATTACGCTTTAAAACTTAAATGCTTACGCTTTTACACTTCTGAGTCACCAAAACGCCTCTACGTAGAATCGCGCTTTTCAATTACAATTGTAGTCAATATCTACGCTTTACGCTTACGTTTTTACGCTTCTAGATCACCAAAAGGCTTCTACATAAAATCGCGATTTTGACTGCATTGGTGAGCAAAACACTTGGCCGAGAATTTTGACTGCTAACTTTAGATCTTTCAGGAAAGTAAAGTGAACATGAACGGCAAACAAAGAGGCTTGCTGGAATAAAAATGAGTCCACCGAAAGTTCATACCTTCAAGTCAATCATGTCAATTGCTCCAGTCTCTGGCCATGTGGATGGTGGGCGAGACTGCTCAATAACTGCTGGTGCCTCACTTTGAATTTGGCTGTACTGATATATTCTCTCTATGGAAATGATTTTGTTTTCAACCTTGCAAAAGCTAAGTACCCATCGTGATAAACGAGCATTAAGATTAAGGCCATATGTCACAGCAAGGCCTGCCATACCTGTTGTTCATATAATAATCGTTAGCCAAAAAATATCAGTAGATACTCTATTTGTTGCTAAATTTATTCATTTTTCCTCAATCTTAGCTCTTAAAGCTAAAACTTGAGTAACAATACATTGTTATTAAAGGATAGAACATTAACTAGCTGTACCCAACTTACGTACTTGGATCGATACTTCCTTGGGGAAAGCTGACGAGTAAAAGCATGCAAAAAGCAAACACGAAGGTGGAAAGTAGTTCCATGCGCAGGCAGAGCCACTCAATGGCAGCCAGACTGCAAAAGAAAGGACGAGTGAAACAGTCAAGCAGATAAAGATTCCTTTTCATGAACCTCTTCTCTTGGCCAAAGCCTCTAATTGTGGCTGCTCCAGCAATTGACTCGCCAAAAAGATGGAAGATAGGAGACTTCTGGATGCTGACAATGCGAACCAGTTCCCTTGATGAAGCCATATAGTATTTCTGCATGTAAACATACACATATTAAGCATAACTCCCTCAGCACCATTTCAATACAATAGTCAGCTGCTTTTCCTATCTTTGCATCGTCAACAAAGGCTCATAATTACCCAATAATATCATAATGGAAGTACATATATATAAGATGTCCTAGACCCCCCTTCCTCTTCCATTGTCAGCCTCATTACCGCATAAATGTAAAAGTTGCAGTCATCATATGGTTTACTAGAGTAAATTCATTGTACACATTCAGAAGAACATATGGTAAAGACTCAAATGCATTTTTTCCAGAGCATCTATTTCAGTAAATGCTTTGCAAAAGAACTTTAGCTTATCCTTTTGTGAAGTGAGTGTTATAACTGACCTGCATCCATAAGCAAGCTACAGCCATTGGAATGACAAGAAGCAAAATTTGCCAGGTGACTTGTGTCATTACAGCAACAATTCCAATAAGCTGAATTGTTGTAGACGCAAACCCACCAAGCCTAAAAGGTATATCCAGATCCACAACACTTTGGTCAATGGATACCTGAAAGATCAGATAAGCAAAAGTAACACACATAGTCACTCTGATGAAGTATGGATAACAGCAAGGTTAAGACAATTTACTTCTCATTGATAGGAGACAACTTACACGATTCAAGATCCGTCCTGCTGGAGTAGAGTCGAAGAAAGACATAGGTGCTCGAAACACACATCTAAGCATCATCAGAAACAACTTCTGTGCAGCAGCTAGACCAAATGTAGCAACCAGAACAGCTCTTGCAAGTATAAACACTGAGCTACCAAAAGCAAGGCCCATATAAACACCAAGTAGGACCATGGGACTCACTTTGGGGTTTCCTCCTTCCATCTGGGGATTCGCCCAAGCCATCCACCAATTACTAGCTATTTGAAGAAACTGAAATAGTGCCTGTGACAGAATTATGAGGGGGACTAACATTCCCTTATATGCAGCAGCCATATATGACAAATAAACCTTCATGCTTACTCTTCCCCTAACCCTTTCCTCCTCCTGGACAAGCTGCTTTTTCCTAGAACGTTTTGCTTTCTTTTTCTCTTTGATTGCTTTCTTATCCGAAGAAGATGCAGTTTCTTGCACTTCTTTTGCAAGATTGTCAACATTACTTACTGATGCTTCACAAATTTTATGATGAATTGTGGGACCATCCAAAGCCACACCCTCATCAGAATCCTCTGATGAATGAGTAGGAATATCCATAGATCCAATTGCTTCCTGGTGAGCACAGACCAAACTTCTGAAATCTGTTCCTGCTCGTAGAAGCTCTTCATACTTGCCTGCTTGTGTTATTTGACCTTCCTTGAGAACCTGCAAGGATAATACTGACAAAAATCATATATTGTTTACACATTAATGAGGCTAAGAAAAAACATGTAAACCAAGTCCCTGTTCTGGGGTCCTGCCCACGACATAAGCCTCCATCCTTCCAAATAAAAGGTGAAAATTTCTGCCATAGAAGCAGAAAAGGTGATACAAGTTCATATCGAGCAGACATGACATTCTTACACAAGGAAACCACTACCTCAACAATACAGGCTCCCATGGGTTTGTCAGGTATTCATGGGCGGGCAGGGTATCCTCAGAAATGTGCACCGAGGTCTAGGTATAAATAAAAAATAAACAAATAACCATATAATTGGGTAGCTAGTATACCCTCTGAACTATCTGTAGTTAAACCAATAGTAGCTCAACTCCTAGTGATATATATTTCAAAAGATAATCTTTCTTGCTGGAAATTTGCTAGAAGGGTTGCTGGACTAAAAACATGCAATGGAAAGAAACAGTAAGCTAATAGATAGCAATTGAAATCAAACAAGATGGATATATACTAACAAGACTGAAAAGCTAGAGAGCCCTCATAGGATATGTTGCAGGTGAAACAGCCCATGGTTATATTATATGGAAGTGAAAAACCTTAAATATCATTGAAGCATGCGGGCAGAAATGAGTTGGATGAAACATCAACATATAATGATTTCGTACCAGTATTAAATCTGCAGCTGGCAAGAACTCAACTTGATGAGTGACATAAATCACAGTTTTAGCTGCTAATGCTGTTAATATGTATTCCTGCAATTCCAGAACATTGTTTGAACAAAATTTATTCAATTGAATATCATTATTAAGGAAATGCAGCAGAAATCAAACCTTGAACAATTCCGAACCAGTGTGTGCATCAACAGCGCTGAATGGATCATCCAGCAAATAAACATCTGCATCTTGATAAAGTGCCCTTGCAAGCTGAACTCTTTGCTTCTGGCCACCACTCAAATTTATACCTCGGTCACCGATTATGGTTTGATCACCATGTGAGAAAAGCTCCAAATCCTTTTTGAGTGAACAAGCATGAATAACTGATTTGTACTTCGCTTTATCCATTGGACTGCCGAATAGGATATTTTCTTCAATATTTCCCGATTGTATCCAAGCAGACTGAGGGACATAAGCAGCAGTGCCACAAACTCGCACCTGGTTAAAGCAGCATTGAGTGCAAGGAGTCGATAAGCTTCCATTTGAAATATGCAGAACACAGGCAAAAAGTGAAACAGTAGAATTTGATATTGTAAATTCAGAAAACAAGGCCAACTAAATTGACCTACTTCACCAGAAATTTTCGGGATCTCGCCAAGAATGCATGAGAGGAAGCTTGACTTGCCAGAGCCAACTTTGCCACAAACAGCTACACGCATTCCAATTTGAACTTTCATCTCTATCCCGGATAAGGTGGGCCTTGGAACAGAAGGGGTCCAGCAAAACTCGCCATCTTTAATTTCGATGGCAAAGGCAGCTGTACCTCGTGGTAGCACAATGGTTGCATCTTCCTGTAACTCTTCCTCCTGCAGGAATGTAGAAAGTCGATCAAGGGATACTTTTGTTTGGGCCATCATAGAAACCAAGTCCGGGAAGTTCCTGAGTGGCTCTTGGAGAATTCTGAAAGTGGCTAGTGAAGAAAGAACGCCTCCAGCTGTGAGCTGACCACCCAACATTATGGAAGTACCAAACGTAACAACAGCAACAAATATAGGAGAGCTCCAAAAGAAGAATGTTATGAATGATTGTGAATAAAGGGCTTTCTGTAGCCACTTGAATTCCACACTCCGCATGTCCTCCAGTTCTCGTCGATACCTATCCTCCCAAGCCTGCAGCTTCAGGATCCTCATGTTCCTCAGGCACTCAGAGGTCTTCCTCATCCTTTCGTCCTTTGCAGCCATGAGTTTGTCTTGATAATTTTCTTGCATCCTAGCCAGAGGGATGGTAACCACAATAGAGAAGATGGTGGCGAGCAAAGTCGCAACTGCAGCAATTCCAACATTCTTATACAAAATGGCCAGAGCAAGAATTATCTGCAAGGGAAGCATCCATATGTCATGGAGATACCAAGAGTAATCCCCTACTCTCTGGACATCAACTGCCATGTAGTTCACAATTTCTCCACTGGTATGGCTTTGCTTGGATGTGCTTGATAGCTTGAGTCCTTTACGATACACCATGGCAGTCAAAGCCGATCTCACATGCATACCCAATATGTCAACCCCAAGATACCATTGGCGGGTTGTAAACGTCTCAGCAAGCTTGGCCGAGAAAAATATTCCTGCTAGAATGTACCCCTCATGGCGGAAAGTCTCCTTCCCCCCCAGATACTCCACAAAGTAACTAATCAAGTATGGGCCAACATATGAAACTACAGTATTCAACATGGCAAAGATAGCATTCCGAAATGCTTCTCTCCAGAATGACTTGAGAATTGCCCAAGCTAAAGAAGGTTGCTTAGAAGGATTCTCAGCTTTCATTTTCTCCCAATTCGAATTCAGAAGCTTATAATTGGCTTTGGCTCGATCTTGTGGTGCAAGAAGAGGAATATCCTTCAGTTCTAGAGGTCTCTTTGCACCGGTGGAAAGAAGTGGGTTCAACCAAGAAAGAGTGAGCACGCTAAAGAACCCAGCATCACTGTAGGGAGTTATTCTGAGACATGCAGAGTCTTCTTCCAGAAGCAGTGGTTCTTGAAGGTCAGAGTTCCTCATTACTAGTATGCCAGTAGCGCCTCTGATAGCAATAAAGCACAGAAAAGCCAGAGCAGGGGTTGCAGCGAAATTCACCAGAACTGGAGCACTCAAATGTCCATAGCCTTCTGCCAGAAGGCTCCTCCCATCAACATACAAAGTAAACAAGCACATCAGGAACGAGAACAGCCACCACAACCTGAGCAAGAGCGGGAACTTCTCGCATGCCGTAAACTTACAATGAAGAGTCCAAAAGCTCAAGACAAGCCATGCTAAGCCTTGAGAAGCAGGTAAGCAAAGCACAGTCCACTCCTGAACTTCTCCACTAACGGCCTCTCTAACCAAAACAATACCATCGTATCCCAGCGCCAGAAACTGCAGAAACAAGACGTAGAAGCAACAGAACAAAGAGAACTTGAAGATAGTTCCCACAACAACATCACGGGTCTCTCCATCCCCAACACCAGTCCGTCGAACTGGGCTGGAGCCAGCAACCGATGGGGCATCATCTTTCAGCAGCCTGATCCTGCCAACACAGACGAAAAGCTGCCTGGCGGAGATGATCAACAGGAACACCAGAAACAGTGTCAAATTGACGCAAATTGAGGCGAGTTCCAACTCGGGAAGGCCGTGGATTGCCCTGAATGCAGTTTGGAATGATAGCCTATTGTGACTATCAACCCAATAGGTGGAACCCATTATAGAAATAGAAAACGCAAGTTGGTGGTGGGGAGTTATGGTGACGACGGTGGAAGAGAGAGTGAGAATGCGGCGGTATTGATGAGTAGAATGGTGGGTTTACCTCCGAGGAAGGAAATATCACTGAGCAGGGAGAGGAAAGAGAGTAGAGATCAAATCGAGCTAAGAAGGCATTTCAGTTTTTCACCATCTGGGGCATTGAATGGGAAGGGGATATAGCTCATTTAGGAGATAGAATCATTGCGCAAAGAAACAAATACGGTTGTCACGCAAGACGAAGAACAAACACCAAAAGGCGGATGCAGAGCGCGGGCGAGAGATAGAGAGAGATGCAGGAAGAGGCGGTGGTAGAGGAGAAAGGGAAACAAAAACGACCGTTTCGACGAACACACAGACACACTCCCTCTGTATCTCTCTCTGCCCGTTCGTGTCTTCTTCTCCAACGAGCACAAGGAGACAAAGCAGAAGAGAAAGGGAAAAGGGCACGTCGCAGAAATCTGCACAATCTGGCTGCAATAACCCAGACGAGAAAACAACCAAAAAGACCCGACCTTGAAATTCGTTTCCCTTTTTTGGGGTTCCTAGGCCGAAGAACACCAAAAGCCCACTCCACGCCAGAAAAATGGTAGTGAATTATGCCCACCGGACGAAGATACCCCCTTCCTTTCTTAAAACTCTTGAGGTTTCTTCAAATCAAATCACCCTCTCCATGCTCGACGAGTCAAACAGAAAGCAACGGGGATCATATCCCCAACCAATCAAAATTCCAGAAGAAACCCAATGATGCTTTACAACAAACACCTAGAGCGCACGAACTTCATTTCCTCCCTTCTCTAGTTTCTTTTTTCCTGAGACAATAAAAAAAAAAACAGAGGAAGGGAAAGAAACCCAACGGGGCGATCTCTCGCTGTGTAATCACTGAGATTCCCCTCTCAGGCTCTCACTCATCAATCGTGGAAGAGAAACCAAGATGGGGATCTCGCAAAATTAGTAAGAAAGCAGCAATGCAGAGAGTTTTAGAGTAGAAGAAGGAAGAAACTCAGAAAGGCAAAAGAAACGAAAATTAGGAAGTGGGTCGGTCGGTCCATCAATGGGTGGGCATTGCCGTGTTGGAGCTGTGTGGGTGTGAGTCAGTGAGGCTGCGGAGGTGGCACCCACCACCTTTTTTCCGCCCTCTTCTCCTTCAACTCCTCGGTTTTTCGTTTCTGTTTTTCAGCTATTGGCTTTTTGCGTCTTTGGTGGGTAAAGAGTCACTAATTTCTAATAAAGGCACTGTACTCTGTTTTCTGAGGTTTCTGGCCATGGTCCTGAAATTTGCATTTTGATAATACGCGGGGTGAAATGGATGGATGGCAGGCAGCCGAAGAGAAGCAGAGTACAGTGCTTTGGCTGTAGGATACTGACAAAAACGAAAACCCCCCACAAACTGAGAAATTTCTGTACTTTTTATTTGGTACTGAGAATCTGCGAGAAAGAAGGAGATGGGCAAAGCACAAGTTTAGGAGTTCATCTCTTTCACCATGATAGAGTGTGTACTACTTTCTCTTAGGCCTGGCAACCGGTCGGTTTCGGTTTAACCGAAAATGAATTTTCGGTTTTCGGTCAAACCGAGACCTGACCAGTTATCACCGGCCACCGACCGACCCTGGCGCCTCGGTTATCCGTAAACCGACCGGGCGGTTAAGGTGCGGTTAAACCGGCAGCACCGAAAAAGGGAGGGTCGGTTCGGTCTGCTGTCCTGACCGACCGAAGATCGCCAAAAAACCGACCGCCAAGACCGAAAACCGACATTTAACCGGTCAAAACCGACCGGACAGCAAGGGAAAAAACCTAAAATGGCCTAAAATTAAAATCTCAAACCTACATTTCAATTCCTTTTGCACCGAAAATACATCTAAATTAGCAACTTAATGTCTCATATTCATTAATTCAACAACATAAACTCCACAAATCACAATAAGTCCTCTAGATAACAACAAATCAACAACACATCATAAACAATCTATCATCACTTATCACCGGCCTTAGAAGAACCAACATCTGCATAACCCTGTGCGTTCAATACGGAAATCAAGTCATGACCATAATCGTCATATCCATCTTTCTCATACTCTTCCTCCGGTGCATCTTCTTCACCCTCCTGCTCATTCTCCACTGGAATGTTGAGGCTTGCATCTGTATTGCCAACATTGCCAGTATTCGTTGCACTTTCCATTCTAGTTTGGAAAGTGACATTAACTGAGTAAGAAAAAAAAAAGGAAAACAAAGTGTTAGTACTTTCCAAAGTGTTAGTACATTGAATTAGGTGAAAAGAAGACAAAAAACTGAACAATAAGAGAGTTTGAGAAACTCACTACTTTCCAAAGTCAAATTCTCTTCATCATCTTCCTTGTCGTCAATCTCCCTGGATCCGGGATACCTTATCCAATCCTCGGCACAAATCAATGCCTCCACCATTAGGTCGCTCAAAGAGGACCTGAATGGACTGAGAATCCGCTCGCCACAACTGAATGTAGCCTCTGAGGCAACAGAAGAGATAGGAACAGCTAGGACATCCTTAGCCATCTCAGCAACAATCGGATAGATTCCAGAGTGTCGAGACCACCAATCCAAAATGTCAAACTTTGCATCATCACTCTCTTCATTGATACCATCGGTTTGACATTTCAAATAGATGTCAAGCTCAACAGAGCTACCTCCTGTTTCCAGCAGAAGTGCTTCCCTTTTTCTCTTTCTAAGCCTCTCCTCCAATATCTTAATCCGATCACCAGCACCATCAACAGAACCCTCATCAACAATGTTATCATCAGTGGTAGACTGAGATGCTAACTCTGATCCATACTTCCTCTTATAAATCTCAAACATCTGCCGCATCTCCCTTTTAATCCTAGTCTGAATTTCCCCTCCTTTGAGACTTCCATAAATCATTACCAACACTTCAGACACAAGATCAAGTTTACTTCTAGGATCAAGCACACATGCTATATAGATTAAATGATTCACCCGAGGATTCTCCTCATTCATGACAGGTGTGTCAAACCAATACTTTCGTACCTTTTCTTCAACCTTTTCTGCCATCCTTTTGAGCTCTTCACGCGGATCATTCTTCAATTCTTGAATGATGTCATAAATTGGAACAAGTATCTTGAAGAAAAGATGGGTAGTCACATATTTAGTTCCTGTACAAATGAGAATAGAATACAGGAAATTAGGCTTAAACAAACCAAAATTGTCAAATGTTCAAATTAAAATAAACAAATTGTCAAATTTCACTTACCTGAGACTAGGAGGGTAAAGTCATTAAAGACCTTCACATATTTCATCAACTTTCTAATCAGACTCCAATCATGTTCAGTTGGAATACCACCTCTTGCGTCAATATAATCCCTGAAGGAATGGTCATGTATACTTGTATACAAAGTGGTAAACACTCCACCAAACCTTTCTGCTGCTTCTAACATGATATAGGTGGAGTTCCACCTGGTCGGTACATCCAAACACACCAATTTGGTAGAATCCAACTCCAGAAATTGCATAGCCGTCTTGAACCTTGCCAACCTAGCTGGCGATGACCTCACCCACTTCACACAGTCCCGAATTCTATCCACAGCTCCTCTGATTACTTTCAATCCATCCTGCACTACCATATTAATGATGTGTGCGACACATCGAAACTGCAGATACTTCCCATCCATCAAATCACACCCCCACGCCTTTAATTTCCTTCTCATGCAATCACTCACAATATCATTTGTAGATGCATTGTCCATGGTCATGCAGAACAAATTCTTCACCTTCCATTCTTCAAGAATTTCTGCAAGCTTCTCTGCAATATCATTTCCTGTATGACTTGTGATGGGAACAAAGGAGATCACCTTCTTCTGCAACTTCCAATCACCTCCAACAAAGTGAGCAGTCACACACATGTAATTTTTGTTGTTGTCAGAAGTCCACGTATCTGTGGTGATTGAAACTCTGCCTTTGCTCTTTGATTCAAAAAACTCTATCAAATTCATCTTTTTCTCCAAGAATATATGAAAGCAATCATCTCTTATACCTCTCCTCCCAGGTATCTTAAACAGTGGCTGAACCGTATGCATAAACTGCTTAAACCCGTCTCTTTCCACAAAGCGAAAAGACAACTCATCCATTATAATCATCATGGCTAATGCATATCTTGCTTTTGCTTGATCAAATTTCCATAAAGCACTTACTTGACTACCATCTGCGTCCTGCAAGTTCAGAACAGCCTGATCCTTGGATGCTGCAACCTTAGCCAAACATGTCCTCCGATGGTTATTCATTGCAGAAGTGTCGTTCCTGGATGGATGTGCTTTGATCTTAGTGTGACAACGCTTGCACTCTCCAAACGGATACTCATCCACCGCCACCTTCGTAAAGTCCTTCCAACAATCAGCTGTACCTGCTGTCTCCAACCATTTCTCTAGATTGAAGGGATCTAAAGAAGCTTTATTTGGAGCCGGATTAATCGTTTCTGCTGAAGGAGCCTCAGCAGCAGGTGTACTTCCACTACCGACATGGGCGGGAGTCGATGCAATTGATGCCGACGCTGACGGTTCACCAGACTGAACAGGCCGACTTCCTGTACGTCCACCACGACCCCGATTCTGAGTAGGAGGGGCTGAGGCACCCGCACCACCACGACCTCGAGAAGCCGGAGGTCTCCCACCACGAGAAGTAGTCTCAGCGGATGGTGCACCTCGTCCGCCACGTCCACCACGTGGAGCCGGAGGTCTCGCCCTACATCAACAGTTACACAAATTTAAAATTGAAAACTAAATTCACAAATTCTAACAATCTAACAACTAACAATCATCATCAATCATCATCATTCATCAATCGATATTGACAGCAATCAACTAAGAAAGCAGTAACACTGGAGGCAAAATTGTAAGTTGTAATTCCTCTTCCACTCTTTTGGCAACTTAATTTCTTAGGAGTTCCAAATCATTCATTTTCCTCAACTCAACAACCATTCAACCTCTACTCTCTACCCATTTCTTGTCAAAGCATATTCTGTAAATCAACAAGACCAACTGCTCAAACAAAACCCCTTGCAGCATCATGTAACCCAATTCGACAATGCAGCAGCCAGCAAGTAAATCCACTGAAGCAATAATCATCATCATTATATGTTCAAAATCATCACCAAACACCAATCCACCAAAAATCATTCAACAATCGACATAAATCCACCAAAACCACCATTCCAATCCACCAAAATCATTCGACAATCGACAATTCGACATAAATCCACCAAAATCATCACCAATCCACCAAAAACATTCGACATACATAATTTGCAGGCCCTTTTTAGATGGGGAAAGGGCGCGAGCTGCTTCAAAATTGGCGAGGTCGCGAGGAGCTGCTGCTTCCTTCTGGAGGGCGGCGGGGCGACGTCGAGGTGGAGGCGGCGGTCGTGAGTCAGAGAACTGGAGAAGGAGGGCGGCGGGGCGACGAGAAGGAGGGAGGCGGGGCGACGTCGAGGTGGAGGCGGCGGGGGGTCGGAGGGCTGGGACTGTCGACGGAATGAGGGGGTCGCCGGTCGTGAGGGAGAAGGAGTAGCGGCTAAGCGACTCGGAGGCTGGGACTGGGAGGGTTAGGTCGAAGAGGATGGAGGCTGCGAAGTCGATCTGCGAAGGCCGAAGACGAAGAGGGCCTAGGGTTGGGTCGTTTTTTACGCTTAGCCAAAACGACGTCGTATCGTCGGTCGGTTAGCGTCGGTTAGCCGGTTAACCGGCTTCGGTTACTCGGCTAACCGCCTAACCCTGTTACATTTCCGACAACCGACCGCTGAACATAAATTTCGTTTTCCGGTTAGCCGCTAATCGGCGGTTAACGGTTAAACCGGCCGGTTAACCGCTAAGCGAATTGACAGCCCTACTTTCTCTTTCTATCGAGACCTAATCTGAAATTATAGATGCGTTAATGACAAAAATAATGGTAATTTTGAACTGATCCGTTTTATCCGACCTATTTGGTTTGTTTTGGGCGGGTCTGATCCGTCCTGTAGGCGTGGCGGGGCGTGCATGGGTACTCTCATCGACCCGACCTACCATGACCCGCCCCATTCTCGACATGTTCTTGTCTAAATTATATGTATGTTTAGTCAAACTACTTAGGATTTTCCTTTTATTACATCATATTTTAGCTATAATAAAGTTGTAAATTAGTCAAAACCTCAA